ACCAGAACTTCTGCCTTTTATGGCAGCACATGGACGCGGTTTGATCTTCCAACACGACAATGCCAGACCCCACACAGCAATTTTGACAAGGAATTTCCTTCAGAATGTGGGAGTCAACGTCATGGACTGGCCGTCAAGGTCTCCCGACCTCAATCCCATCGAACACGTCTGGGATGCTCTTGGCAGAAGTCTGCGCACACACAAGAACCAACCACAGAATTTGCAAGATCTTGGCACCATTTTGCAGCAACAATGGCGTCGTCTTCCCAATCATGTGTTCACAAGCATCACAAGGTCCATGCGGAGGCGTTGTGTGGCAGTTGTCAACGCACATGGTGGCCATACACGCTTCTGAACTTGTGTGCCATCAGATTCTCGTGCTTGGGACTTATGATTTAAACTGTTGATGTTATTACCGAATACTGTAGGTGCTTGGAACAAATTATGGTTACCACCGTTAATTAAAATCCTTCTTTGAACATTAATGATAAAAAATTACCTTCTCTGATACATTTGTCCGTTTTATATCATATATGGGATTACTTTTAAAAATGTGAAGTTTTTAATTTGACTCAGTATAGAAACAAAGTTTTCTGTCTGCTTCTCAATGGGGACAAATTTTCTCAAAAGCTGTTTAAGTTAGGGTTCTGCGGAAGTGAGTTTACAGATCATGTAGAGGTATTGTTGAAGCACAACTCCTGATGATGTAAGTGGCTTTGTTTCAAATTTGGAAACAGGTTGCAGTCACTGGGGCCAGCTGGGTGAATATAGGTGGATGGATTGAAGCTCATATCCACATCCCGTACAGCAGCCGTAGAACCATAGAGCGAACTTGAGCATTGTCCTGATGGGGGAACACAGATGTGCAGAATATCCAGATGTGTGTGTTGTCCATCTCTTCTTAGGTGTTCACGTAAGAATTGAGAAAGCAAAACAGAAAAAAGAACCCAATTTGATCAATCTTTTAGTAAAAAGATTAACACGGCATGACTGAAGGACCGACCATTTGATATCCGGTGATTTTATTGGAAAAAAAACCCACATCAAAACATTATACATTGTTTTCAGCAGGAATACTCCCATCAAAGACATTATCTATACATTTGTCCCTATATACAGCCTATTGACGTAGAACCAGTAACATGTACAAATTTCTGTCTAGTAAATCTGTGGTAATAATTTATCAGCTGACTTTCCTGAGATACAATGTACATAGATTCTAAAAATCAGAAATGACCGATTTCAAGACCCCTGGATCAGGTGAATATTAACGATGTCAGAAGTAATGTTGACTGCCAGGGTATTAATGTATAAGCCAGGCTAACATAGTCTGAGGTGAACCTTCCTCAATGTGAACAGAATTTCTATTTGTATCTGACTGAATATATTGAAAATACTTTCAAAAACCTCAAATAAAAAATGGACATAAATTATATATGAACTGAGACCTTATGCTGAAAATTATAATCCATTGTTGTTACAATATGACCTGATGAAAAGTGACGTTCTCTGAGGGATGAGACATAATTTACATTTGGCACTGTGATAAAAATGTTAGTTAGTGAAGACACATATGGTTGATTGTTTTCTGGCAATTCAAATAGAAAAGGTCTATTCGTAAAACATAGCTCGCCTGGATATACAGACAACAGCAACATAACAAATGTTGCTGTCATAACATACATGAAACAAGAAACTATCCTCAATGTTTCTAAATCTGCAAGAGCTGAGGTGAGGTGAGGTGATGTGAGGGTACAAGATTATTGCACTTCTATAGCGATGTGCATTGCATGTGTGTGGCTGCTTGTACTAGTCCGGACTAATGCCAATTTTGTAGTGCCAGCCCATTGAGATACCATGCCGCAGTTTAACATATATACCCCACTCAGACACAGTATACTAACCCTCAGCTGACGAGTCCTTGTTTTAACCACTTAATGCTGAGCGTCAGGCATGGTAACAACAAGTACCATATTTTAATGTCTTTCGGTATGACACGGCTGGGAATCAAACCCCGGACCATCCGCTCTCAGGGCAGACGCTCTACCAGTAGACCATGCTGGCGGTCTAAATTTGCATGAATGTACTTTTGTAGAATCTTCTGTGGAGTAAAACTTTTCCAATGCCATACATTTTTCCAATTGTTTCACCCAAATGCCCACCAAAATCTTAATAATTTGAACAAAATATGAGGTCATCATGGTCTATCATCAGAGAAATACACATCCCAAAGTTCAGTTTCCTCAGTCTGCTAATATCAGAGAAGAGGCTGACTGAGCCATAAATGTATTTTGAGAGAATGTAAGTGGCCATACATAGCTAGTTTCAATGTAGCTGCAATGTTGGAGTCAAGGTGAGGTAAAATGGGGATGAATATCGCGTCCAAGATTATTGCACTCTATAGCGACGTGAATGCATGTGTGTGTGGCTGCGTGTACTAGGCCAGACTAATGCCGATTTTATAATGCTAGCCCACTGAGACACCATGCCGCAGTTTTACATGGATACCCCACTCAGCATACTGACAAGCCCTTGTTTTAGCCCCTGTAATGTTGAGTGCCAGACAGGGCAACAACAAGTACCATTTTTAATGTCTTGGTATGACGCGGACGGGGATCGAACCCTGGACCTTCTTCTCTCTGGGCTGAAGCTCTACCACTAGACCACGGAGGCGGTCAGATGGATTAAAACCTTTTGAACAAAATCTGAAGTCATCATTGGTGGAAACAAGCATGACAATTTCATTGGTAAAGTGGTTTCTGACAAGATGATGTTATAGTGAGTGAGTGAGTGAGTGAGTGAGTGAGTGAGTGAGTGAGTGAGTGAGTGAGTGAGTTGGGTTTAACGCCACTTTAAACAGTATTCCAGTTATATCACAGCGTATCAGCTTAATGTGGGAGGAAAGCCCAAAGTGATGATCTCAGACGTTTACCACTTTGGTGAAACCCACTAGCACGGGTATGGTGCTGACAAACCTAGAAACATAATTGGGGCGAACCTGGATTCGAACCCAAAATCATAGGTTTCTGGCGTGCCCAAGGGAGACGCAACTCTGCACAGCAAATTGCGGCGCCTTAAGACGACTGGGACACCCGTGCCCCCTGATGTTATAGTGTGAGGAAATGCAGTCTCAGAGAATTAGGAGCATAGACAAAGCACAAATATCAAATGAAGGTCCAAACCAAGGTGGGAACATATGTCTTATACCACATCTCCTAACAATTTGAAAGAAAATGTCTGAGAAATGTCCATAAGGAGTTTCAGCTTTCAGTATGGTCAAAGAGCAAAGGTCAAATCAAGGTCAAATGTCAATGACATATTACATTCAGGTGTCATCATTGGTGGGAACAAGCATGTGAAGTTTCAGCTTCATTGACCAAGTGGTTCCTGAGGAGAAGAAGTTTACAGACGACAACTTCACCTCTGGGCAAGCAGGACCTGACATCAATTCAGTGACTTTAAGCCAGAAGAGCTGACAGTACACAGAAAGATATATTCCATAATCCCTTCTGCCCCCCCGCCCAACAAATACCTAATAGTTAATCAAGTTCAAATTTGCTGTAGACGAAAATACATATCAAGGTTTTATTATTATTACCCTAATCTCAGTTTCAACCAAAATATCACAATATGCTTCAACATGAACCATATGGATACGAAAACCAAGCAAACTATATTTATACGCTTCAACAAACAGTTTCAAAACAACAACACTGTCATGTAATCATTGTCAGTAGCAGTGTATGTGTTCCTGAGTAAGGCAAGATGCTGCATGGCTATCTGGATTTCAGGGTACAGTGATCGCTCGCTATTGCGCTACCAATGGGGTCCAAATAATTGGTGGGCGTTATAGACGATGAGCCATTTAACCGAGGCCGAGGCGGGGGAGCGCGCTCGGCAAATCACAAATCATCAATAGGCCTATGTGTTTATCTCACGTCACGTCAAAATAGTATATATTTTTATGGACCTAGATCTACCTGTAATATCATTCATTTATTAAATCTGTCATATTTCACAATGTCTGAAATACGTATTCCATTCTAATTTATCATTTTTTATCAATAAATTAAAAAATTATTCACTATTTCCCGCGATGTTATTGAAAATAAAATTCTCGGACACACATTTCGACAACGGGTCCGCATCGAACATGTCAAAGAGCAAAATAAAGACTATTTTAAGCAAATCTTTAAATATGTTATACAAAGTGATAAATAAAATTAACAAAAATATATCTAAAAGTAATCAAACTTACATCTAAGTTATTATTTCCATCGTTTCGTGCGATCGCGTGTAATGTAAGTCAAATGACATCTCGGCTTTCGTCGCCTTGAATTCTCGGCTCGGACACAACGTTTAATGCAAAAATATATGCATGAAAAATCTTTGTCACAGCTCGTAACCTAGCACGATACATTCGCGAAGTTCCATATTTTTAATATATATCGTGATTTCCTGCTTAAAACGTTCAGAATAACACGATTTAACAAAAAATCTTTCGCTAACTTCTGAAATTTATCAAACACGAGCTTTGTATCACAGCTTGATTGGCTGCCTGAGGTCACGTGCTCAAAATTGACCAATCACGAAACTTGTAGCAGATTTCGGCAAGAAAGCGTCATTAGAAACAAATTTTAATCCAATGAAATCGCTTGTTATAACTACGGGGAAAAAACAGGCGATGTTACGAAAGCGCGATTACGAAATGAATGACCGCCGTGTTGTGACAGCAACTACATGTGTGTGACAGTTTAGCCTTAAATTGGATTGCCCACTAATTAAGAATATAAACTTCACTTGTGGTTCTCTTTTATTGCATGCATGCGCTTCTAAGATCAAAGGATGTATAGTGTGAAAAGTTAACTAGTAGAACAATCGTATTTCCGGGACCTGCCGCGGATGTTTTCAAACAGATTATTAGAACTCCATTCAGCGATAAACCGTTGATTATGCAATGAGAAGCGTTATGTGCAAATAAACAACGAACAACAATACAATCATGTCTGTGTAAAACTCTCAGTATTAAAAGTGTACATAAATTTTGGGGGCCATGCGTTACCGCGCGTAATAACCGAAGTAGCGCTTTATCGAAGAGCGCAATAGCGAGCGATCACTGTATACATATCTGTAAAGGATTACCACATTCTTGCCTTTGTACTTGACCACTTATCCCTGAAATCAAAACATGAATGAGGATTGAGTGTATCCTCACATGACAAGTGGAGCTCTAGTTTCCACTGCCACAAAGTCCACTTACACCGACAAGTCACTCATACCGGGGGCTGTATTATTTGAGCTTCTTGAGGCGACGCAACTGTACATATGACAGGAGTAGAAAAATGAGGGAGAAAGCTCCCAGTGCCACCTGGGGTACCCACAAGTCCCATGTTGTCTCGTAGGCGATACCTTGACTCTGGAGATAGTCGTCCCCTCTTGTGCTAAAAGTAGATACACATTCATTGGTTGACGAATATGATTCATGAATGTTTGGTAGGACTATGTATATGGTGTATTTCATCAAGTAAAGAAAGCCGTGAACACACTACATATAATAATATGACGTGAGACTGGGTGATTCATAGTGAGGTGACTTGGGTGAATGTAATAGTTATATATTACGCATGGCCTTATGCAAAACAACATAAGAGTTAATGTTCATATATCAACCATTGAAAGCGGGTGACAAATCAAGCCTCAATCACTTGGCTACTACACTTGTTACAGGAGCTGGTTTCAAGTGGGGAACCTACAGATGGGAGACTATAAGTACACAATCATGAACAGCATATACAGATTAACAGGAAGTCTGTACCAATAATTGCTGATCAAGAATCAGTACTGTTCATACTAACGGGGTCTTAGCTGTAGGAAAGAGTTGACATGTAAAGCAATACACTCACCAAGTACCATTTGACCCAGCGTCACAGTAAACCTCACCGGCGAGTTCATTGATGCTGAGAGCCTGGAACACACACGCGCACAAAGTGACAATCAACTAAACATCATTCAGCAGTCTCGCCACAGGTCGGGGGACACACACACACAAAGTGACAATCAGCTAAACATCATACAGCAGTCTCGCCACAGGTCGGGGGACACACACACACAAAGTGACAATCAACTAGACATCATTCAGCAGTCTTGCCACAGGTCGGGGGACACACACACACAAAGTGACAATCAACTAAACATCATTCAGCAGTCTTGCCACAGGTCGGGGGACACACACACACAAAGTGACAATCAACTAAACATCATTAAGCAGTCTCGCCACAGGTCGGGGAACACACACACACAAAGTGACAATCAACTAGACATCATTAAGCAGTCTCGCCACAGGTCGGGGGACACACACACACAAAGTGACAATCATCTAAACATCATTAAGCAGTCTCGCCACAGGTCGGGGGACACACACACACAAATTGACAATCAACTAAACATCATTAAGCAGTCTTGCCACAGGTCGGGGAACACACACACACAAAGTGACAATCAACTAGACATCATTAAGCAGTCTTGCCACAGGTCGGGGGACACACACACACAGTGACAATCAACTAAACATCATTCAGCAGTCTCGCCACAGGTCGGGGGACACACACACAAAGTGACAATCAACTAAACATCATTCAGCAGTCTCGCCACAGGTCGGGGGACACACACACACAACGTGACAATCAGCTAAACATCATTAAGCAGTCTCGCCACAGGTCGGGGGACACACACTCACAAAGTGACAATCAGCTGAACATCATTCAGCAGTCTCGCCACAGGTCGGGGGACACACACCCACAAAGTGACAATCAACTAGACATCATTAAGCAGTCTCGCCACAGGTCGGGGGACACACATACACAAAGTGACAATCAACTAAACATCATTCAGCAGTCTTGCCACAGGTCGGGGGACACACACACACACAAAGTGACAATCAACTAAACATCATTCAGCAGTCTTGCCACAGGTCGGGGGACACACACACACAAAGTGACAATCAACTAAACATCATTCAGCAGTCTTGCCACAGGTCGGGGGACACACACACACAAAGTGACAATCAACTAAACATCATTCAGCAGTCTCGCCACAGGTCGGGGGACACACACACACAAAGTGACAATCAACTAAACATCATTCAGCAGTCTCGCCACAGGTCGGGGGACACACACACACAAAGTGACAATCAACTTAACATCATTCAGCAGTCTCGCCACAGGTCAGGGGACACACACCAAAAAAAAGTGACAATCAACTTAACATCATTCAGCAGTCTCACCACAGGTCGGGGGACACACACACACAAAGTGACAATCAACTTAACATCATTCAGCAGTCTCGCCACAGGTCGGGGGACACACACACACAAAGTGACAATCAACTAAACATCATTCAGCAGTCTTGCCACAGGTCGGGGGACACACTCACACAAAGTGACAATCAACTAAACATCATTCAGCAGTCTTGCCACAGGTCGGGGGACACACACACACAAAGTGACAATCAACTAAACATCATTCAGCAGTCTTGCCACAGGTCGGGGGACACACACACATAAAGTGACAATCAACTAAACATCATTCAGCAGTCTTGCCACAGGTCGGGGGACACACACACACAAAGTGACAATCAACTAAACATCATTCAGCAGTCTTGCCACAGGTCGGGGGACACACACACACAAAGTGACAATCAACTAAACATCATTCAGCAGTCTTGCCACAGGTCGGGGGACACACACACACACAGTGACAATCAACTAAACATCATTCAGCAGTCTCGCCACAGGTCGGGGGACACACACACACAAAGTGACAATCAACTTAACATCATTCAGCAGTCTCGCCACAGGTCGGGGGACACACACCAAAAAAAAGTGACAATCAACTAAACATCATTCAGCAGTCTTGCCACAGGTCGGGGGACACACACACACAAAGTGACAATCAACTAAACATCATTCAGCAGTCTCGCCACAGGTCGGGGGACACACACACACAAAGTGACAATCAACTAAACATCATTAAGCAGTCTCGCCACAGGTCGGGGAACACACACACACAAAGTGACAATCAACTAGACATCATTCAGCAGTCTCGCCACAGGTCGGGGAACACACACACACAAAGTGACAATCAACTAAACATCATTCAGCAGTCTCGCCACAGGTCGGGGAACACACACACACAAAGTGACAATCAACTAGACATCATTTTTATCATTGCCTTTCAATACAACATATACTAGATAAGACTTACATCCAGACTGTATCTGAAGATACTGAACCACTTCAGCCATTGAAGCCACTCAACGATGGAGGTAATTTTCACCAACAGTCCGCTGAACAACTGAAACAAAACAGGCAGTTTCAAGAGTTGCTGGATAACTGAAACAAAACACAGGCAGTTTCAAGAGTTGCTGGACAACTGAAACAAAACACAGGCAGTTTCAAGAGTTGCTGGACAACTGAAACAAAACACAGGCAGTTTCAAGAGTTGCTGGACAATTGAAACACTGTCAGTTAGTTACTGGCATACTTAATTAGGAGATAAACATACTGTGTTTTCAATGTAGAGCTAGGTTACCTGTAGATTTAACCCCGCTAAATTGAATTTGGAACCGAACACGCAGCGTTAGGTTTCAAATGTTAAATTTAGCGCGGTTTAATCTACAGGTAACCTAGCTCTACATTGAAAACACAGTATGTTTATCTCCATTCTACCATGACTAAATAAAACGTGAACTCTTTGGTGTTAGCAAATATACTGAGTGAAGCGGCATGGGTTGAGTTCAGTGTTTTGAGTAGGTTATCGAATTAATCTGAATAACGGAATCACCGAACAAATTATGGTGCTGTATATAATCAAGCAGTTTGTTTACACCGTAATACTTCACTCTAACATATGACAGGCATTGAAAGCATATAAGCACGGCAACTTGGTAAGCTAACATGAGGTGGGCATCCGTAAAGAAAACAAAGCAAGCTTTGCAAGGCTTTCGCTCTACATCGCAAGTCACCATTTCGCTCATTGTGACGCAAAAGATATGACGTTGTATATAGAAAAGCGCCAAAATTCCAAGCTCTCTGTTGTCTCCAAAACATAAATACATTCCTTTTGTTGATTTCTGTCGTGTTTTTCTGCACGAAATGTATTGCCACACATCCTTTGAATATTGTAGTAACCGCATCTGTGCATTTTGTAACCTGTAATTGTAGATATAATTATCTAAATATGCCTACCGATAATGACTGAAAATGGTACTATTCTATGAATATTAGCTTCCGTGATGATGCGGCTGTCAAATCAGCTGTTTCAATCAGAGGGGGTTTATTATGATTTGTGATTGACCAATCAGAATCGAGTAAATTCCAAATTCATGGTAGAATAAGTCACAATTGGCTCCAACAGCAGAACTGCAGGAAGACATTCTAACCTGTGCAGTGTCCCAATACATTGTACATAGCAGTCAACAGTAGCCAGGGAGGGTTACATGTCCCCAGTTGTCGTCAAGTCTTGGAAACAATGGGAACTCACCATCATGAACACGTAGCACAGAGCAATGAGGAGGTTGGCGATGGCGAAGATGCGAACGCTGGCACTGATAGCAAATGCTAATCCTGAGGCTGCCAGTGATGTCAAAAATAGGTCCAGCAAAAAGTAGAAGAAATAGCCAGCTGCATTTCTTAGGCCTGCAAAGTATGGAGAGGACTTTCATTATACCTGTGTAGTGGGTGTCTGGTGAGTGACAAAGTATGAAGTGGACCTGTGACAACACCTGTGTGGTGGGTGTCCTGTCATAACACCTGTGTACTGGGTGTCCTGTCATACCACCTGTGTAGTGGGTGTCCTGTCACACCTGTGTACTGGGTGTCCTGTCATAACACCTGTGTACTTGGTGTTCTGTCACACCTGTGAGGTGGGTGTCCTTTCACAACACCTGTGTACTGGGTGTCCTGTCAAACCACCTGTGTACTGGGTGTCCTGTCACACCTGTGTACTGGGTGTCCTGTCATACCACCTGTGTACTGGGTGTCCTGTCACACCACCTGTGTACTGGGTGTCCTGTCATACCTGTGTACTGGGTGTCCTGTCACACCACCTGTGTACTGGGTGTCCTGTCATACCACCTGTGTACTGGGTGTCCTGTCACACCACCTGTGTAGTGGGTGTCCTGTCACACCTGTGTACTGGGTGTCCTGTCACACCTGTGTACTGGGTGTCCTGTCACACCACCTGTGTAGTGGGTGTCCTGTCATACCTGTGTACTGGGTGTCCTGTCACACCACCTGTGTACTGGGTGTCCTGTCACACCACCTGTGTACTGGGTGTCCTGTCATAACACCTGTGTACATGGGTGTCCTGTCATGACACCTGTTCAGTGGGTGTCCTGTCACAACACCCGTGTACTGGGTGTTCTGTCATAACACCTGTTCAGTGGGTGTCCTGTCATAACAGCTGTGTACTGGGTGTCCTGTCATAACAACTGTGTACTGGGTGTTCTGTCACACCTGTGTAGTAGGTGTCCTGTCACAATACCTGCGTACTGGGTGTCCTGTCACACCTGAGTGGTAGGTGTCCTGTCATAACACCTGTGTACTGGGTGTCCTGTCATAACAGCTGTGTAGTGGGTGTCCTGTCATACCACCTGTGCAGTGGGTGTCCTGTCACACCTGTGTACTGGGTGTCCTGTCACACCACCTGTGTAGTGGGTGTCCTGTCACACCTGTGTACTGGGTGTCCTGTCACACCACCTGTGTACTGGGTGTCCTGTCACACCACCTGTGTAGTGGGTGTCCTGTCACACCTGTGTACTGGGTGTCCTGTCATACCACCTGTGTACTGGGTGTCCTGTCATACCACCTGTGTACTGGGTGTCCTGTCACACCACCTGTGTACTGGGTGTCCTGTCACACCACCTGTGTACTGAGTGTCCTGTCACACCACCTGTGCAGTGGGTGTCCTGTCACACCTGTGTACTGGGTGTCCTTTCACACCACCTGTGTACTGGGTGTCCTGTCACACCTGTGTACTGGTTGTCCTGTCACACCACCTGTGTACTGGGTGTCCTGTCACACCACCTGTGAGGTGGGTGTCCTGTCATAACACCTGTGTACTGGGTGTCCTGTCATACCACCTGTGTACTGGGTGTCCTGTCATAACACCTGTGTACTGGGTGTCCTGTCACACCACCTGTGTACTGGGTGTCCTGTCACACCACCTGTGCAGTGGGTGTCCTGTCACACCTGTGTAGTGGGTGTCCTGTCACACCTGTGTATTGGGTGTCCTGTCACACCACCTGTGTACTGGGTGTCCTGTCACACCACCTGTGTACTGGGTGTCCTGTCACACCACCTGTGTACTGGGTGTCCTGTCACACCACCTGTGTACTGGGTGTCCTGTCATAATACCTGTGTACTGGGTGTCCTGTCACACCACCTGTGTACTGGGTGTCCTGTCATAATACCTGTGTAGTGGATGTTCTGTCATGACACCTGTGTACTGGGTGTCTTGTCATACCACCTGTGTAGTGGGTGTCCTGTCATAACACCTGTGTAGTGGTCGTCCTGTCATAACACCTGTGTAGTGGTCGTCCTGTCATAACACCTGTGTAGTGGTCGTCCTGTCATAACACCTGTGTAGTAGGTGTCCTGTCATAACACCTGTGTAGTGGTCGTCCTGTCATAACACCTGTGTAGTGGTCGTCCTGTCACACCTGTGTGGTGGGTGTTCTGTCACACCTGTGTAGTAGGTGTCCTGTCATAACACCTGTGTAGTGGTCGTCCTGTCATAACACCTGTGTAGTGGTCGTCCTGTCATAACAACTGGGTAGCGGTCGTCCTGTCACACCTGTGTGGTGGGTGTTCTGTCACACCTGTGTACTGGGTGTCCTGTCACACCACCTGTGTACTGGGTGTCCTGTCACACCACCTGTGTAGTGGGTGTCCTGTCACACCTGTGTACTGGGTGTCCTGTCATACCACCTGTGTACTGGGTGTCCTGTCATACCACCTGTGTACTGGGTGTCCTGTCACACCACCTGTGTACTGGGTGTCCTGTCACACCACCTGTGTACTGGGTGTCCTGTCACACCACCTGTGCAGTGGGTGTCCTGTCACACCTGTGTAGTGGGTGTCCTGTCACACCACCTGTGTACTGGGTGTCCTGTCACACCACCTGTGAGGTGGGTGTCCTGTCATAACACCTGTGTACTGGGTGTCCTGTCATACCACCTGTGTACTGGGTGTCCTGTCATAACACCTGTGTACTGGGTGTCCTGTCACACCACCTGTGTACTGGGTGTCCTGTCACACCACCTGTGCAGTGGGTGTCCTGTCACACCTGTGTAGTGGGTGTCCTGTCACACCTGTGTATTGGGTGTCCTGTCACACCACCTGTGTACTGGGTGTCCTGTCACACCACCTGTGTAGTGGGTGTCCTGTCACACCTGTGTACTGGGTGTCCTGTCATAATACCTGTGTACTGGGTGTCCTGTCACACCACCTGTGTACTGGGTGTCCTGTCACACCACCTGTGTACTGGGTGTCCTGTCACACCACCTGTGTACTGGGTGTCCTGTCATAATACCTGTGTACTGGGTGTCCTGTCACACCACCTGTGTACTGGGTGTCCTGTCATAATACCTGTGTAGTGGATGTTCTGTCATGACACCTGTGTAGTGGATGTTCTGTCATGACACCTGTGTACTGGGTGTCTTGTCATACCACCTGTGTAGTGGGTGTCCTGTCATAACACCTGTGTAGTGGTCGTCCTGTCATAACACCTGTGTAGTGGTCGTCCTGTCATAACACCTGTGTAGTAGGTGTCCTGTCATAACACCTGTGTAGTGGTCGTCCTGTCATAACACCTGTGTAGTGGTCGTCCTGTCACACCTGTGTGGTGGGTGTTCTGTCACACCTGTGTAGTAGGTGTCCTGTCATAACACCTGTGTAGTGGTCGTCCTGTCATAACACCTGTGTAGTGGTCGTCCTGTCATAACACCTGTGTAGTGGTCGTCCTGTCATAACAACTGTGTAGCGGTCGTCCTGTCACACCTGTGTGGTGGGTGTTCTGTCACACCTGTGTACTGGGTGTCCTGTCAAGTAGAGACCTTAAGGAATATTTTCACATGAAACATCAAAAGTAACTCGTTTACTTAATCCTGCAGCTCAATACTTTTTTGAGGTATTGTCTAAGGTCTAAAACAGTACCTGTGTTACCATGTTTTTGTCATTCAATTTCAATCACAACTCACCAATATCTTCTTTATTTGTTGTCAAATGTTTGTTCTATCCGATGACATTGATATCTCCCAGCTCCTGTGGTCAGTCATGCCATGATTTTTGCCATTTGTCATGGTTCAGAAAAAGGGGTGTGCTTAACTTTTTTCTTTGTGTATATATATAGTTTGTTTCCTACATTAGAATAAACAAAGCAGAAACAGACAGGGGTCCATGTGAGAAGATGTATGTACATACCTATCATCCAGTACACAATGGCGGAGAAAGCAGCCACTGGCACCAGCCTCATGGGAATGACATCACAGAAGACTTTAGCCAGGAAGTAGGAGGACACCCGGTAGAAGCCACTTACGTTCTCATGCCTGCAGGGGCAGTGTTAGACTCACATTTAGACCCAGAAGTAACTTATCTTATTTAAAAGTATATATATCTGTAACAACATTATAATCCAAATGAAGCCCAAAACAATCCTTAATTTCTGAGGCATCTAGACTTGAGTTGGACTACTTTTTGATTCTTCTCTCTAGGGTCTGGGAGACAGCATAAGTAGTGCCAAACTATCAAACCTTTGATCTCTCCTTTACAGGAAAATTAAGTAATAGGGGGTTTAGTCTTTGTTTTTGAAACAGAAATGAACATGTAACCATGAACTTACTTACTTAAGGTGGGTGTCATCGGAACTGTCCTCGATGAACAACTTGTATAGTACAACCAGTATAATTATCAAGATTACTATTATAATTAGCATCATGGCAACAAAATATCTTTCAAGCTTACATGAAAATTGCTCTCTCTTTGATAAAAAGTTCTACTGCAGACAAGTTGCCAAACACTTGATTCATGATGATGAAGAAGAAGGCACCAACTCTGGAAGCAAAACAAATTGACCTGGTACAGACTAGCTCAATACACAAAATAGAAAACATACCCATTATTAAAACAGATGTATGAACTGTTTCTGATACTTCCTATCTTTTGAATGTCTAAAATATTTACAACTAAATTATCTGTTTTCACTTGCAGCCCATGTCATTTACTAGCAACCCATGTTATTCACTAGCAACCCATGTCATTCACTAGCAACCGATGTCATTTACTAGCAACCCATGTTATTCACTAGCAACCCATGTCATTCACTAGCAACCCATGTCATTTACTAGTATCCTATGTTATTCACTAGTAACCCATGTCATTTACTTGTGACCTATGTTATTCAATAGCAATCCATGTTATTTACTAGCAACCCATGTTATTCACTAGCAACCCATGTCATTTACTTGCGACCTATGTTATTCACTAGCAACCAATGTCATTTACTATTAACCCATGTTATTCAATAGCAATCCATGTTATTTACTAGCAACCCATGTTATTCACTAGCAACCCATGTTATTCACTAGCAACCAATGTTAATTACTAGCAACCCATGTTATTCACTAGCAACCCATGTTATTCACTAGCAACCCATGTTAATTACTAGCAACCCATGTTATTCACTAGCAACCCATGTTATTCACTAGCAACCCATGTTATTTCTGTATGACAAAACACAACTTCATGTGTTTATTTATGAATGAAATGTAATATAATTGTGCATGGAATAAGAACTTTGTCCCAGCACACTTCTATAATTTGAAATAATAAAAAAGTTTTAAAAAAGACATTTGTAATATCTAAGATGCAATTAATGTCATGCAACCTTGAACTCAAATGCACCCTAAATTTGTATATTATCATCTACTATTGATGTTCATGCATGTTCTTAAAAATAAACAAATTTGTAGAATTTTCCTGTTCGGAATATTCTATAAGCAATACGTTACCACTGTTATACCGAGGCTGTTGTCTCTCACAACTGCTGCTATAGCGAAATCTACCACAGAGATCTCAATTACCTCATGCAGCACGTGCGTAGCCACCTAGCTGCCATGTGACACCCTTCACTCTTGTCTCCTGCAAGAGCAAGTGCTCGGGGGACGGACGGGCGGGCAGCAGCCCAGTGGTAACGTATTACTTATAGAATATTCCGAACAGGAAAATTCTACAAATTACATTAAGTAATACGTTACCACTGTTATACTGAGGCTGACTACCACAGTAGGCGGTGGGGAGCACCTACAACCCGAATCCTGACTGCTAGCGTTCCTTCCGACCAGCCGAAGTAAACACCAAGGCGGAAGCACTCGATGCGCATGCACCTAGCTAGGCGTTACCCTATAGGAATACCAAAGCACTGTCAAGCGCATACCGTAAGGCTCAATCGTCATTGCCAAAATGATTGGTGACTCCAAACGGCCCCACTGGATAGGTATTTCATCGCCGCAGCGGATGAGAACACTGTATCCGCGTGAGCTAAATCTTAGATCAGGTTAAACAGTCGAAAAGAGGGAAATTAATTTCCTTCAGACCGTATATCCCAGAGCAAGCCTACTTAAAGTATGCATTAGGCGCGTGACCTAATTCCAGTATTCGTAAGCATGTATCGCAAGGTTTGAATACACGACAGACAATTAAATGCATAATTGTCAAAATACAAATAAGGACAAAACACAAAAAGCCGCCTCACCTGTGGTGTGAGTGCGCTGGTTTGCAGGACCCCCACTCCTGTACCCACGGCGTGGGAACATTGGAGACGACCCAGATTGACCACCGTGCAAGGACTGACGACTGCGGAGTTTGGAATTGCGCTGGACACACCCCCTAGATGACCGCTTGTGCCGCGATCAGCGGCCCAAGACGGTGCACCCCCTCCACGTCTTCATCAGAAACCTTTCTGAGGTAATGATTGGCAAAAACCGAGTCAGAACGCCAGTAACAACCTCGTAATATTCTGTGAACAGAGATATTCGAGTGTAGGGCAAATGTTGCCGCTAGCGCCCTGATCTCGTGCGGGTTTGACCCCGCTACCGGTAACCCCCGAGACCGGTACACCAGATTGATGACAGAACCAAGCCACAACGCAATCGAGTTGCGAGTTTTGTCAACCGTGCGATTAGGGTTACACGATATTAACAGACGGTCACGCCCTTGTCTACGTTCATTCGAAGCCTTAAGATAATACTTAAGGGCCCTAACCGGACACAGCGCTCTGTCCTCAGTATCAGCAGGATGTAAGATTTCTTTGAGTGATCTTACAGTGAATTCTCTCTCCGTTTGCCCGACTCTCTGATTCTTGGCGACGAAGCCCATGAGCAGGCCCAGGCGGACCGCTCCTTCGTCACCCCTATCGAATCGTACCTTGGCGACATCGAGTGCATGAATTTCGGATACACGTGCCGCCGTGGCAAAGGAGAGGAGAAATGCTGTTTTCCAAGTCACATGCCGGAACGAAGCACTATGCAAGGGTTCATACGGAGCTTCCGTAAGTGATTGCAAAACTAGGGAAAGATCCCAGGCCGGTGCCCGAAGGCGGCCCTTCTTAAGATCGTGCTGTTTGAAACCCTTGATAATACCCCGTATCACCGGCTCTTTGGAGAGACTGGTACCCATAGCAACGTCCCGTACCGTAGCAAAGGACGAGACATAGTTGGCAATGGAACCCCGGAGAGTTTCCGGGTCTCTCGCATTTGAGACATGAAACGAGCAATATCCTGCACAGATACCTTATCTGGCGAATGAATGTGATGTTTACAACACCACTTCGTGAAAATAACCCAACGTGCATTATACACCTTCTGAGTAGAATCACGATGCATACTAACGTATGCCCCAGACGCCCGGCGAGAAAAACCTTTACTCCTCAGACGCTCGGTGACAACAGCCATGCATGCAGATTGAACTGCCCTGTGTTTGGATGAAGCTGATGGGTGTGAGGGTGGATCAAGAGATCCGGTCTCACAGGCAGTGGAAGTGGGTACCACGATCTGTTCGGCCACATGGGCGCGATCAGTAACATTCGACAGCGAACTCCTCGGAGCCGGCTTAGAATGTGTGGTATCAACGCTGTCAGCGGGTAAACATAAGCGTCCAAGCCCGTCCAGTCTAACGCGAGAGCATCGTGATCGATGGCCCTCGGGTCCGGGACTGGTGATACAAACAACGGGAGTTGATTGTTGAACCGCGTTGCGAACAGGTCGACCATCGGACGACCCAAACGTTCGCACAGCCACTGAAACACTACAGGGTTCAGCATCCACTCTGTGGGGCTCGGATCCTGAGGCCTCGATAGAGCATCGGCCAGTACGTTCCGCACACCTGGGATGTGACGGGCGCGTATCTTGCACGGGACACTGTCCACCAGAGCGTAAAACTCGAACGTGAGATCGAGTAGCGAGTGACTGTGGGTTCCCCCCAGTTTGTTCACATAGGACACTACCGTCGTGTTGTCGGTCGCCAGCATGAGCCGGGCGTCGACGAGATGATGCTTCCAGTGATTGACTGCGTTGATCATTGCCTTGAACTCGAGACAATTGATGTGAAGACCTAGTTCGTCTACGCACCACAGCCCCGAGCTCACCTCCCCCTCTAGATGGGCGTCCCAGCCCACTAGAGAGGCGTCTGTATACAGGTTCAACGTGGCCCGGTAGGGCCGCATAGAGACTCCTGATAAGACATTGTAAGGGACCGTCCACCACTCCAGATGCGGTCGGAGCCGAACCGGGAGGGCGACGGTTGCACTGTTCACCTCCGTTGCTAACAACTGGATTAAAAACCGTTGCAGTGGGCGGAGTTGGAGAAGACCCCGTTCGGTGCAGTCCTGGGCTGATACAAGTAGCCCTAACAGCTGTTCCCAAAAGTGAACAGTCTGTTGCACCGCTAAGACTTTGGCAATCATCGCCTGAATCTTGTGCCACCGGTCTGGGGGGACAAATAGGCGATGAGACACCGTGTTGAACCGACCTCCGATGAACTGCAAGTTCCGAGAAGGGGTTAACTCGCTCTTAGGGAGATTGACAATCCACCCCAATTGCTCCAAGAGCCGACGTGCGAAAACGAGATGGCGTGACAGGGTGTCCGTCATTCGATTTGCTACTAGCGAGTCGCGAAGTACCGGACACCCCTCCGGTGGAGGAACCCCACTATGGGGGTGGTTAACTGGGTGAACAGCCAGGGAGCGGATGAAAGACCGAATGGGAGTACAACCCACTCGTAGTGCCTGCCTTGAAAGACAAACCTGAGATACTTGTGATGATCCGGGTGAATCGGAACATGCAGATAAGTTTCCTTCAGGTCGATCGAAGCTAGCCAGTCGGCCGGCATGATCAGTGCTTTCAGGTCCGTCAAGCTCAACATTCTGAACTTGGGCGGCTTGCGCAGGTAGAACTCGTTGAACGATTTCAAGTTGTGAATCATTCTGAGTTCGGCACTGTCCTTCTTGGGAACGAGAAATATCCTGGAGTAAAACCCCAGTGTTATTTCTGGTAGAGCTAACTCCCGAACTTCCCCTTCTCCACCAACCTGTCGATGGCATCGGCGAGGAAGGGAAGATCGGTTTCCAAATAGAAACCTGCCGACGGGGCAACGGTGAGCGGCGGAGCGGCACCCAGGCGCCTATGCAAGGACCCCACAAGATCCAGTGTGTGCCGAGAGGCCTCGGCAGACACAGCGGCCTGTTGTTCCTTCAGAACCCCAGGGATCTTGCTATTAAACAGGGTCCGAGCAGACCAAGGCTGCGAAAGGAGCACCTCCTGATTGGCAGCGTCCAACCCTGAAGCAACCAGATACGACTGGCGCCGAAGAAAATGGCACGTGCGGGAAACAAAGGCCGAAGCCCCGGCAACGTACTCCAGGGAAGCATTTAAACCGAGCAAGCAGTTGTAAATGCGCTGGTCTCGGTCCGTAGGAGAACCTTCGACCAGACTGGCCGCTGCAGCCAGGTATGTGTCTCCGTGAGACATTGCCAGCATGGAGTGTCGAGCGAGGGTGTCCAGCTGTTGCAAGGTACCTTGTGGTACCGTGGCAACCGGTGGGGCACGGACCCCCCAAACGCTCCACATGGGCTTCCGTGGAAGGACCAGCCTCGGGAAAGGCAAGGTCATGTACCGGGAAAAACCCTTTTCTCCACGACGGGGGAGGTAACGGGAGACCCCGACCGGAGGCAGCCGTGAAGGCCTTCTCCAAAGAAGGCTTAATCCCGCGCAGCAAGGTTGATGCCGGGAAAGCCTTGTCGGACGTCTCGTCGTACACCTCGGAGGAACCCACGGAACCGTGGATTCCCCGCGGTATCGGCAGGGGCTTTGGCATGTCCTCGAAGAGGTCATAAACCATGGCCACGCGGTCCTTAACCGATAGCTAAAGGAACGGTTCGGGGGAAGGACCGGTAACCACGGCAGCCGCCGCCGTACCGGCGGACCCCGCGGCCACCAAAGAGGCCGGGGACGAAACAGCCAGCAGCCGTATTGACAACAATGCGGCGACGGAATCCCCAGGGGTGGAGACGGACTGTACGTACAGCCGGTACCGCTCAAACTCCGCAGGCCCCAGACCTTCGCACAGGGTGCACCGGGTGTCCCCTCAAGGAACCCTGCACCGCGGGCAATGATCGTGGGGATCCCAGGACGACAAAAACTTTCTGCACACCCTGCAACTCCGAGGAGCAGGGTCAGAGGGGGTGGAGACTGGGGACATATCCATGTCAGACATTGTTTGTTTGCTATAAACAAAGAACAAAACATGGTTACAACGCACGCACCACAATGATTCACAAACGAGCATTTTCACAAGAAAATAAACGAGCAATGTGAACATATAACATACACATATAACTTTTATTAAAGAAATAAGTTATGTTAACCCCCAAAACATACAAGAACAGGGGAAACGTAAAACACAACGTGCATACGCGAACCCCGCAAGTATATAGAAAAAAGGCGGGAAAATTATAACCAAGCGTAGCTACCGCAACGCCCCATAATGGCACAGTTTATTAGAGAATAAACTATAATAAATATCACCAAATCTTCAAGGAACGCTTCAGCAGGAGGAATACACGTCTTGCTACGCAGGCGAAGGAGACAAGAGTGAAGGGTGTCACATGGCAGCTAGGTGGCTACGCACGTGCTGCATGAGGTAATTGAGATCTCTGTGGTAGATTTCGCTATAGCAGCAGTTGTGGGAGACAACAGCCTCGGTATAACAGTGGTAAGGTATTACTTAATGTAATATAGCATATCACATTTTGTTCATATTCGTACACTGCTTTATACTTAAATCAGCAATATTTCAGTCATATCACATCAGTGTGTGTGTGTGTGTGTGTTTGTGCGTGCGTGCGCTAATGCCAACTGCTCGTGCCCGCCCACTGACATACCATGCTACAGTTTATCACGAATACACAACTCTGACACAGTATACTGACTCAGAACCGACCAGTTCTTGTCTTAGCCCCTTTATGCTGAGCGCCAGGTAATGTAACAATAAGTACCATCTTTTCACGCCTTTTCGTATGACATGGCCGGGAATCAAACACCCGAACGTTTTGTTCTCTGGGAAGACGCTCTACCACTAGACCATGGAGGTGGTCTGTATGAAGAAGGCACTACGTAATACGACGTCAAGTCAATATGGGACACTTCACAAATAATAGCAAAATATTGTTATCAACCAGGCAATCAGCATGAAGCAATAACCATAATGATGAGTGAGAATTACTTAAAAATTCACCATTATTCGTGCCTCTATGGGCAATATTTAATATTTGTTTCCGACTATCAAAAAATCATTCTGCACCAGTCCTTTTTCTTTTTAAGAAAAATTCTGCTTCCTGGTGTGAAAACAAATCAACTTATTTTAATTAATCATTTATTAATTATGATATGTAAAGAATATAATTACATAGCCAATGTTTTTAACATTGATCTTCAGGGTCCACTGATGATCTTGTTGATTGAGCATGCAGTGAAGAAGCTAGATATGATTGGATGATACTGTGTAAGATTTCGATGTTATATAAATCTATGTCAGTAGTAAAAACTGAAATATATTTCACAATTTAGTTGTGTTTTTTTTAACATCATTACTTATGCTGACTGTGTCCACAGATATTTTCAAGCATGTGCGATTTGGAAGCTACTGCAGCTTAAATCCCAATGATTGTTTCGGCCCACTGAACTCAAGACTAGTTTAGCGTCTAGCTTTACACAAACAAAGGGGACATAGTTCTGTTATTCACAATCAAATCAATCCAATGCTTGAATCAAAGTCCACCTGTATTTACCATTAAACTGACAGGAAAGATTGATGGACAGCACACATTCCTATATCACCACTACTGTCTACTATCTCACCTGTTCTGAATCCCTCCTGTTGCGGTGTCTTCCACGTCATAGTAAATAGCACCAACAATGACAGCAAAGATTATCATTACGAACACCTGAAAACACAACAAGAATCATCAAGAGATGCCAAATAATTACCAAGAACTGCTGAGAAAAAACCCAAGCAGTTCCAAACTCTGCTTGACATCATGGGGATTGAAACATTTCAACATTCCTTAAGCTGGCACACTCCACCACTTAATTGACATTATGATAATATGCTTTCTTTACATGCAGGGGAATTATAAACATATATATATATCATTTAAACATAGGTGCCAGCTTGACGCGGAAGGAAAGCCGGAAGTGATACAGGGTCCTATTCCACAAAGGGATCTTAGTGCCAAGATGTCCGCAACTCCCATACTTTGACATAGGCTTATTGTGGTCATAGAGATAAGAACGCTTTGAGGACCGGCGCTGTTCTTGGATGGTTAACCTTTTGGGGAATTATGCTGACAACTTCAGGAACAGAATTAGGGTGAATCAGGATTTGAACCCATCACAGAATTGTGGCATGCCTACGGGACATAACTTGGGCAACTGGGCCACCTGTAGACACTATTTCATTTATGAAACAAGTTCAAGTTCTTAATGCACAAAAAATAAACTAAACTAACTAATATTGCTACCACTCATTCACCTGCAATATGGAGGTCTGGGGATTTCGAAGGATGTTTCTTATTGTCCTCCCTGAGACAACCCTCAGCTGAAATAGAAGGATGAATTTCTATTACTATTTCTTACTTCATCAGTTATTTGCAACGTCATATTCAGAAAATAAATTCCACAGGAATCCAAGCATTAGTGAAGTTAACCTGTACAGGGTTAATAGGCTTTGTACTATCTACCTGAGTGAGGAAGGAAGTGGTGTAGGGCACTCGTGGCATCCGAACAACTGTACCATTCTCCTCATCCTTCCTGTACTTGTCATAGATCACCATCACTTCATTCATCAGTCTGCAATGAAGGATGTTCCAAGTAGTTCCTTTGAACCTTACTTGTACATGCAAGTCGCTGAACCATGTTTGTGTACATAAGATGGAGAAAGTGTGTCCCCCTGGAGTGTCTGCTCTACAATCACTATCAGTGAGCAAGTGACTTGTGCAGGGTCGATTAACTGGTCAGCACTATTTGTGCAACACGAAGACTGCAGGGTGGCACGACACACCAACAGCTTACTACTGAGTGGCCATTGTGTCCAGCTGATCTCCAGCTGTGTTACGGCATACTTGAGACCAACATCCATCGCCACTGCATGATGACAACCAAACCTGGGTACTTCATCCAGTTTTCTTGCCTCATACTATCTCAATAGTTAACTCGGGACAGGTTCTATTTCTGAATCCTGATTGAGTCTTGCATGCTGCTGACACAGACTGACACCTGTGTGGACAATGATCAATGGGTTACACTCAGTGACTTTCAGTGGGGTGATATTTCATGCTTTCTGATACTTTGTGCAACCCATGCTTGCCGTAAAAGGCGACTGTGCTTGTCGTAACAGGCGACTAACAGGATCGGGTGGTTATGCTCCTGACTTGGATGATGCATGTCATCGTATCCCAACTGCATGGATCTATGCTCATGATATCAATCACAGGACACTCAGAAAGCAGCTTTCTTAAGCTTTGCGGACCCAGTTTCAAACTTGTGATTTCCATTCCACACTTTGCTCTTTAAAAATATTTTGTATAAGTCATACAGTCCATAAACAGTTGTTTTGTGTTAAACTTTAGAGTTTACATGATTAGAAAACATATTCCCCCAACCATGTAACATCACAATATGAATATTTATTTGCTTATTTTTTTTATTACGTGTTTGAATCGTTATTTATTGTGTAGTTGTCCGATTTTCGATCACGAATGTTGATACTACTTAATTTCGTTTATCCGACATACTCGTTAATCTGACATAATCATATGTAACCATCAATTTGGGATTAACGGGACTTGACTGTACTTACTTTTGATGCCACCGTGACTCTTTGAATCTCTGTACAAGATTTTCTTGGAGATTCTTGCTTACATCTGAAAACATAACATTCAAGAATACAAAAAGTCTTCCTAGAAAAGTGATTTAAATCATTGTAAGCAATACTGAATGATATGCAACAAAGTGACAGTGACTTGAATGTGCAATTGTACAGGAACTGTCAAATGAAACAGAAAGGGGAGATAACTCTGTATTGACAGATTCACAATTGTGTATGAAAAAAAGTTCCTTTTCAGCTTCGAAAAACTGCTACAGAACAAAATCACTTTTTATTACAATGAAACATGTATTTCACAAGGGTCAATACTTGTTTGATATGAGTCTAAATATGTCTAGCCTACTAAAATACTAAACATATTGAATATATTTTCCATGTACATGTATATCTAGGCTGCCATCCTGTTCTTTTTCACAAACTGCACATACTGAACTCTTTATCAGATAAGTAAACTTTAACAAAGATGTTTTAATACTCTGGCTTTAAGTTAGCTTCAACTATCATTATCAAGTACCATGATCAGTTTCTTGGGATCTAGACAAGCTCAGGCTCTTGGTATTAGAAAGGATTTCGATCATATACCGGGGTATTTTATTACTACGACCTGTGTCAATATTTGGTGTCAGCACACAACACCACTGCATATGATTGTGTAATGGTGGACACTTGGGTATGTATTGGCTGACTGGCAGTAACTGATCTCAGTGGTAGATAAATGGTTACCCTTGCCATATTTGTCCACAGAGCCAATGCTTGGCATTTCTATTGGGATTTACAGAATCTTACTGAAAATGGACACAAAATAAAGTACAGAGTGCATTCACTGGGTCGTAGAAAACTACAATAATAACAAGAGTCATCAGAAGATGACAAATCCCCCTGGCCCCGACAAATTTGAAAGAACAAATCATCTGATTCTTACTTCAAGTCCAACTTGATGAGTGTACATTTTTCAAGATTTGCTGTGGAATTGAGCAGTGCCAACATTTCCAACCATAGTTAAAGTTATTGACAATGGAAACTCAAACAAAACCGTTCTTCTAAACTCAAAAACTATCAAAAGGCAGTTCACCATTGGACCTATCTATGTGTCAAGTTTGGTGATGAAATATTGTATGGTTTTCAAGATCTGCTCCGAAAACGACATCTTGCATGGATGGCTGGGCGCACGCACAGACTGAGTGTGTCAATCTTAATAGCCCCAGCAAAACGTGTTGCGCTGGATGATAAAACCACCAAGGCAGTCAGCTGTTTTTTTTTAATTAACATAGTTATATTCAATTGTTGTTACATTTCTTTGGGACCCCGATTTCAAACCCTTTGACCCAGACAGTTTAAGGCTTTCTTCCCCTGGATCCCTTCGCAGTCATGTTTCAACCTTAACATGTCTGATGCTTAAAGAAAACATCTGGTATAAACCTGATTTATTATCCAAAACTGGCTTTCACAGGAGATATCGCTTTGGTGAGATCAAGCGATATCTACACTGTAGATATCACTGCAATGAAATTGCATCACAATGCTTTGCAGACCATTGTGGCCTCATTGGTTACCATGACATCACAATCAAATGACATCACTAATGGCTCTGCTACTGAAGCTGTTAGCAGAACTTTTTACACTTAAGACACTGCTTATTACTGTCTACAGACTGAAAAAGTTGGAAGAATGATGTTGGATGATAAATAGCCTCAGAGTTTTCCCACTTTTATCAACTCGTGTTGATATATTTGATATCAAAAGACACTCGGGTGAGATTCTCTATATGTATGTAACCTGGCAACACAAGATACAGACTCAACTCTACCATCTGCCATGTAAGGTATGCAGCATGGTTGGCCAAGTAGCTTTGCAGAGTTGCATCCATTAACCATGCCAGGATCCGATAGTTTTGGGTTCCAAGCCAAGATTCTAAGCTTGCTAGTACCATGCTTGAACTAATGGGTTTCACTAGCGTTAAATATCTACAACCTGGGCTTTGTGAAATTTCCCCCTCTTTAAGTTGTCAAGGTATGAGTATAATGACATAACTCAAAAACAAAACATAGCAGATTCAAGTCTACACTTATATTCACTCTTATAAGGTACATGATTTACGTATTTCAATGATGATCAAACTCTATGGTTATAAATGACTCAACAAACCATTTCCATTAGCTGTCTTGTCTTGTTGGGCCTCAAAATTGGTGACAGTGTTGTAGTCGCCATTGATGACATCCAGGAAGAAGTCGGGAGGGTTGTTGTGTTCCTCACAGATGTAACCTGGAAGACAAAAGTCTCATTTATATTTGCATTCTGCTTTATAACATTTCTGAAACGGAAAAAGACTTTCTCCATGATCTGTGGGACTGAAGTATCTCAGGCATAAGCTTGTTTCAAAAAGCCAACCATGTCAAAATCTACTCATAAAAAACAACAACAACTGTAAGTATAATGCTTGATCTGAATCACAGTCACTCCACAGGTGGTGTGAAGCTGGGACATACCGGCAGACTTGAAGTAGTCAAGAGCATCAGGTGCTGCACCATGGTAGACGACCTCACCCCCGGACAGCAACATGAGGTTGTCAAACACTTTGTATATAGAGAAGCGCGGCTGGTGGATCGAGAACACAATGGTACGACCCTTCAAGGCCAGTCTGAAGCAAATACAAGTAAGGTCTAAGGAAATGATGACCATTCTGTCTCGGCTATTGTTATTGAGATACACTTTCTGTAGATCTATTATACAAAGAGTATTTGTAATACCAAAACTGCTGGGTCAAACATTTAGCCATTATGTGATTATTGTGGGAAATTCCAGTCTAGTCAAATTCTAATCCAATCAAAAATAGCCACCTGACAGACTATGCATGCATCATCTCATTTGAGATATCAAATTACTCACTGTTCTATAACGTCATGTTTGCAAGGATTACTGCTAGACAAAGCAATCAGTTAAAAACAACTGAGCCAGACACACAAAAAAATGAAGGTTTTCTTATAGGGATTCACGTCGGCATAGAGAGATAACAGTATCGAAAAGACCCTAATGCCCCAATAATTTTGAAATGATTTTTTAAACTCCTCCTGTAAAGAGGATGGTGTGGAAGGTCTTAGAAAATTATTTCTATGGTGAAACTGATACTGATATGCAATACCTGCACCGATGATAAAACTGCCCTATTTGTGGAATCTGCCATAGATCTGAGAATCCACCATGGATATAAAGTGTGGGTCATGTCAGTTCCTTCTCACCTTCTGAGCAAGTACATGACCGCGTTAGCCGTGCTGGCATCCAGGCCTGTGGTTGGCTCATCCAGGAACAGCACGGGAGGGGAGATGATCAGCTCCATACCGATGTTTGTTCGCTTTCTCTCGCCACCGGACACACCACGAATAAACTCATTACCAACCTAGGTAAATAATCACAAACTCATCCTCAACCTTGGCAATGTAGGCCTCACAGCAGACCTCCAGGAACAAGTAAACTTGAATTGTTTTGCATATACTATATATACACTGTAATAGCACCCTAATGCTTAGACAATTGACAATACGAGCCACTTTTTAAAACCATACACCAGTTAAATTTGATGTCAGAGCAAGGGTCCTCCCTATCCTCATCCTCTGTATCTCCAGGGCTAGTATTTCAGAAAACCTACTCCCACCCCTGGATCCATTCCTGTGGATCCCGTAACCCCAAGTTACCCACCCTTGGTTAGTTTAAGTTTACAAAAATGCGAGCCCTGTAGACATAGAGGGTTCCAATAATATTCTCAAGGTTTATTATTAAGTTTTCATATCTGCAATATACGAGGGGCGTTCAATAAGTTTTGCAACTTGGGCATTTGTGTTTACACAAACAATGTCAATTTGTGGCAGGTGTGACACTAGTCATAACATCAGGTTACATGTGTCATAACAAGTTCCAGACACAACAATAAGTTAGATGTGATGGCTTCATTCACCTAAGGGTGGTCACAATCTCGATAAACATGAACAACGCGCAAAGCAAAAGAAATCCATATGTGAATTTTGTGAATGTGGATACGAACAGTTAAATCACCCACCCTACAGCCCAAACTTAGTCGCCAGTGACTACTTCCTGTTTCGGCAAATGAAATCTGCCAAACGTGGAAGACGCTTCCAGGATGACAAGGACATAAAGGCTGCCACAGAGGCGTGGTTAGAGGGCCAATCTGCGGATTTCTATAAATGTGGTATTAAAAGCTTGAAGGACAAATGGAATAAGTGTATTGAGGTGAATGGAGATTATAACGAAAAATAAAAGTGCAAAAGATATTCTGCGACTAGGTCTCATATTGAAGTTGCAAAACTTATTGAACGCCCCTCGTATGTATGTTGAGTCAGCTGAATAAATTACCCTGAACCTATTGATACAATATGAACTAATGATTATGTCAACAGAAGGGACTGTGGTCTCAGCAATGTTTCAATGCCCAGATTCAGCAAGACATGTAAACTGAAGTGATCCAAGGATGTAAATCTCACCCTGGTATCAGCACACTGGTTCAACCCTAGTTCATCAATCACAGCATCCACACGACTGTCTCTCTCCATCTGTGAGGTATTCGAGGGGAGACGTAAAGCTGCAGAGAACTGGAAATTCTCTCTCACTGTAAGAGTTCCCATGACGACATCATCCTAAATTTGAATGGTAATCCTTGTCAATAAGAAAAGAGCACGATTTGCATACACAGCAATAGTTGTTTATAGTTGATTGAAAGATAGCTAGGCGATATTTCAGATGAACGACGGCGGTCTGTAAATAATCGAGTCTGGACCAAACAATCCTGTGATTCATATCATGAGCATCGATCTAGGCAATTGGAATATGATGACATGCATCAACTAACCTGTTAGTCGCCTGTTACGGCTGAAGTTACTGAAGATCTATTCTAACCTGGATCTTCTTAGGTGGGAAAAGCAATGCAAACACATGGCCAATTTAGCCTATCAGAGTGCAAAACACAACAAAAATTAATTTTACTGATTTGAACTGGATAACATGTCTTCATTAGAAGGAACCCTAATTTCAACTTAATCAGTCCAGCAATATCAGAGGTGAAGATATTAAAGAGCATGGTCAAAGTGTCAAGGTCTTTCCGCTACAAAGGTCAATGTCAGGGTTACTGGAGTCACAGATTGATGTATCTTTTAAATCGTTCATCACAAAAAGTAAACCCCACTTCAGGGTGCTGTAGCTCACTAGCCCTTGCTTTAAGGGCCAAAACAGCAGCTGTTTTGTCTTTCACCAGACACTGGGTAACAAACACACAAGTCACATTGCCCTTAAACGCTAGCTTGCCATCCTGGCAAAATTTGGGCCTGCTTTGTTACTTTCTCCTACATCCAAACGTGTAGGATGGTGAAAATGTAGATGAAATTTTATATTTTTCCCAATATTGCTTGAACCATTATTATTCAATGTCAAGTTTGGTTGGCTTCCATGGCAACCATATGCGAAGACCTACAATTTTCCAGTGTATGCAGACAATTTGATGAAACATAGTGGCAGGCTAGTGTACATTTGGGTCTAACATGTTTTTCAAATTCTGTACCAAACTGAAATTAATATCGCAGCATTTACAATTTGACTTAACACCTACTACAAACTACACCTATGACAAATGTCAATACATTTTCAAAAAAAAGATGGCCATTAATAATTAGATGTGGAAAATGCAGTAACATCAGAAAAACGAGGGTATGTGAAAGCAAAAGGTTGTAGCTTGAAAAGATATCCAAATATTCCCCAAAAAGGCATTATATTTCATTCCATATCAAATTTCACAATGATACACATAGAAAGGCTTAGTTATGGCCAAAAATGATTTAAAATCAAATCAAAATGTAGAGACAACATAGCTGGGATTATTGATACAAAATTTCAGCACCATAGGCCTTGAAAGACAGGGGGTCGTGTAAACTAAAGGTTGCAACCATATACTTTTGCTACATATGAAATTTAACAAGAATTATAATGCAAGATTTGACCAAAAATGAAGTTTTCAACAGACACCATGCCACAACATTCCTCTCAGAGAGCACATTCCAAGCTCAGGTGTAGTCATGTGCACCACCGCCTGTGAATTAGCTTAGATAGGGAGGTATATCCTGACCTATGTACTCACATGTGTCACTAGCCGTTGCAGTAGGCTAGATAGGGTGGTATCCTAGTGACAGCCTGACACATGCTGCCTATAAGCTTTATCAGTGCTGGTTTCCTGTAAAGCCTGGGCGTAAAAAAATATGTTTACCTACAGCATTTAGCGTTTAAAGGAAGATAAGAACATTTTCTTGTTGACAAAGTGGCAAGACATATTAATAGTTGATATGTCTTTATCAACAGGCAGAACAAATAGCAGTACGTCAGTCCTTTCTATCACATAGCTGCCCCATAGTGTACGCACCTGCACAACATACCCAACCATGCATTTGAAGTTGTCAGGGGGCGGGGCACCATCCAACAGCAAGCTCCCCTTCAGGCCAACTGGGTCCTTCCGGCCGGCCAACACATCCAGCAGTCTGAAACAAACACATCTAGCTGTGGTCCAAGTGTCATCAACCAAGTAATGCCTCATCAACTCTTTTATCTGTCACTTCGGCCATGGCATACACACACTATCCAAAATAATAATCTTGCATAGACTACACAAAATAGGGATTTAGTTACTTCAGAACAGCCATGATCTAGATATCACCAGCCTCCATTCACAGACGTTTCGGCAAGATATAATGTATACACGGAACATACCTAGAGAGAAATGAAGCACACCTTAAATTATTTTATAATTTAATTTGATAAAAGGGACTGCTTCCAGTCTATGCTACATACAGAATAAATGAATATGTTACAAAGTTGGCCATTGTTTGTTTGTTGTTTAACACCGCACTCAGCAATATTCCAGCTATATGACGGCGGTCTGTAAATAATCCAGTCTGGACCAGACAATCCAGAGATTGACATCATCAGCATCGATCCACGCAATTGGGATACAATGACATCCATCAAGCAAGCCAGCGAGCTTGACCCCCCGATCCCGTAATTCACCTCTTACGACAAGCATAGTCGCCTTTTTATGGCAAGCATGGGTTGCTGAAGACCTATTCTACCCCGGATCTTCACTTGTAAATTTGAGGTCTCTAATAATATCAATTCTTCAACGTAACAGGGCTGAAACGACACACCAAAGTGTTTGTCTGTATTCAATCAAACATATACTTATCAATATCGACACTTATGAAACACCCGATGAATGAACACACTAATGAAACACCTGATGAATACTGGGCTCAACATTAATTAAGACATGACACTAGCACTCACGATGACTTCCCACTTCCAGTTGGTCCAAGGATAGCATTCATGCCTGGCTTGAAGATACCACTGCAAGACAACATTGGATCATATTACCCATCAGGGTTGCAGGCAGTGTTTGAATAATAACAGGTATTGAGTGTGTTCAAAGATCGATGTTGTGTGGGTAACTCTTGGTTAGTCAAGACACAAATTTGAAATTGTTTTATATTTCCGTGCCTGTAGACATAAATATTAGGTTGCATGTTGACATAAAAGGTTGCAGTGGTGCATGTTTCATATAGCTAGGCCTAACTCAAGCCCTGGGTTGAATGATCAAGAGTAATTAACTTCCTGATATTTGCAGATGTATATTTTAGAGATTATCTCAAAGCTGATTTGTCAGCTGAAGCAATGTAATGTCACACTGCTCAATTGTTGAGAACAAATTGTTAGAAAAAAATTAAATCGCCAACTGATGATCACAAAATGATAGCTTAAAAAGGCATCTGAATAACAGATGGATATTAGTGAATTTCTTTTGTAATTTTTCTTTGTTTTCATTCTTAAAATGATGATTGGCAAATTCCAGGAAAATATAAAATTTGTGCCATGGCACGCACTGTAGCTCATAGCGAGATCAAATTCCACACAATTTTCCATAACATCCCTCCAGAAAACCCAGTAAAATGCCAATGATGTGAACAAAATATGATGTCTTAATAAGAGAATAAAACATGTTCAAGTCCAGCTTCTTCAGTTTGTCAATGTCGGAAAAGATAATGTTTGCAATAAAAAAGAAAAAACGATAAACAAACTTGAAATAAGAATAACATGTAGCACGATTCAGTCATCAGTGACCATTGCTATCGTATTTTAATTTCCACTTACGTTCCAAGTGATATGACAGTAATGATCGAATCGTTCTAGTTTCAACTACATTATGTTATATTTGACAGTTAAAATAGATCTAGTCTACGGACCGTCAAAAATATCATAAATATACATGTCAACATATTTATGACACAAAAATGATAAATTCACGATATAATATAGATTCTAGACTTTTCTTGCTCGAATCAAGAAATATATATAGATTAGATATAGAATTAAAAGAAACGAACAAGTCCCTGCTGTGCTTATTAGCATGCAACTACGGGTGATGTTCTTATGTCAATAACAAAACTTACTTTAAATCTTTTAAAATGGTCTTCGTTTCCGTTGTGCCGCAACATGCTTTAGTTTTTACTGCCACGGAATAGAAACAGTTGTGGATTGAGAGGACAGATGACAGGTAGTCTCGAGAACCGCTCAGGTGGAAGCCTGCCTCAGGGTCAACAGTTGCGCTGCCGTTGTCCGTGGTTCCATAGCGCACAGACTCATTTCCGCCCTCCGTTGTGGATATGAGCGCCTCCTGCGAAACAACAGGACTCACTTTTATCAGTGTCCTTCCAGAATTCCCTTTCGTATCATCCATTGTAAGGACTCCCCTGATACTACGGGTTTGGTGTGAAAGGCCAAAGTGTGTACCAACTAGCCACGGGTAAGCTGATTTAGTTTGTAGGGGTGTCGACACATGACATAAACCTTCAAATATGGTCGGAATACAACTTGCCAGGATTCAGTGCGAGGACAATAAAGGTTATATATGATACATGTGTACGCTACTGGCCTGAGTACGTATTAAGATGCTGCAGTATTTACCCACCCGAAAATTTTTAACATAATGGATTCGTCGAAAAAGGCTATTTTGGCATGGGCGGGTATCACTGGGTAAACACGTTCGATTTCGAACGTGGTTTAGAGGATTTGTAAAATGTACATTGCCCGAATTCCTGCTTACTGTTGAATACATGTAGTTGGGTGTGTCATAATTGCCTTATTTTTTAAATAGTGTTAATGATTGTAGGGTAGTCGTTTGAGATATATCATTAATCTGTTGCACGAGCGTACGTGTGTGTATGTGTTTTACACTACTAATTAAGTAGACGTACATAACGCGTCCCTTTTCGCATGTTGAGCTACAATGCAAGTAAATATCTTCCTCATGTATATATTCTCATTTCATATTTGTAACTGTCAAGTATATTAGAAAATGTTTCAAAACAAATAAAAGCATTAATTTCATACAGCAACATATATATTGTTCTTACATTAAACGAATCAAATGAAACACGAGCATTTGTTGCAGACAAAAGTAAGCTTTTTCTATTGTGGACGCGTCCACCCTGTTGCTTCTCCCCGTGATATGTATTGATACCACAACGCTAATATCTCCCCTATCGCTATTTGCACAGAGATAAGTATCGAACTCGGCGTAGTGGGATAATTTATTATTCGCGTGTAACATATAACAATGAAGCTCTTGACTTGGGTGTGCCCTTTTAAGTGCCTCTATTACATACGTGAATGTTATTGGTAATAAACTTCAAATATACAGTTCCAGTAAGTAAAATGTATACACGAATGCTTCAACTACAACTGTGTCCCTATCTTCCTTCATTGTATACATGTAATTCTGGAAAATCAATATTTATTTCAGTAGTTTCTTGATATTGTATTTAGTGCAACGTATCACTCATTATGTAATTAACGATGTCCCAATAATATAACTCACACAAAACACTGCTTCAGGTGTCCCAGTTGACTAACGTACGTTCCCAACTCGGGATTTAGATAGGGGCCGTGCCAGCCGGAACCTATGCCCTGAAACATTGTCTTTTGAGCCATACGATATCAGTTGGTTATTGCCTTAGCTTCAGAGCTATGTCTCGCGCCCCTTCCATGGTTGTCCATTGGCGTGACCTCAATCTGTTATCAAGCAAGACTGCATTGAAAACATTCTGGCTTTTTGTTGCTTTTGTCTGTTTTTGTTGCTTTTGTCTGAACTCTACTTTTTTGTTTGAGGTTGCCTTTGAACCAGTAGCATCGACCCTTGAAGATCCAGGAGAGAATAGTAAGGGTGAAACGATACACCGACATTCCGAGCATCGCGATATTTGACTCACGATACACGTGGGCCTATTTATCGACACGCCACGATACGGAACGAAAATCTACAGCTAGTGTTTCTCGCTATTGTGCCCTTCAATATAGCGCTAACTTGCCTACAGCGCGGTAACGCATGCCTCACAAAATTTACTTACATTTTTATGAAACTCAAGTTTTACACTGACACGATATTTTTCCCCATCTAAAAAAACTATTATTGGTTGATCACGAAACACCGCAAATACCAGTCAGCAAATCCTAACTGAAGTACGCAATTTAATCCTGTTATTATACTATCTGGTTATAAAAACGTGATCATTCTATATCTGGACTAATGTTTGCAATATATTTTATTAAGTTTATTCAAAATTTCATTCAATATTGCTTATTATTTCAGCGAAATCGTGTGTGAAGTGATCGGGAGATCGCACAATTCCAGCAACCATGGTCAGATTACCGCTACTCACGCCTTGAAACGAACTTTAGTTCCCAGAGAATGGATACATATATCATAAATGCCACACTTTGACTCGTTAAAAGTTGTGGCAAATTGACTATTATATTACATAATATGTTTTCGCAATCGAAATACATGTAGCGCGGGAAGTACCTACGTAGAGGTCAAATTGTTCCGTACGTAAAAATAGGGGGCATCACTGTCCCCTGACAATGTTGACATTTAAACACCCCCCCCCCCCCCCCCCGAAGTTAAACTATTCAGATGTGAAGGAAGTACATCGATTATTTTCTGGTGTTAGAACTTTGAAGTTTTCTGGTTTTGAAATTTGGAGTGTTTTGAAGGAAAGTTAGAGAAAGGTTCACTTTGAAGCTTAACAACTACTCCAGCAGTCTAGCTGTTATTCTAAAATAATTTTGACTGTTCCAAAATCATGAAAGGTCCAATCTTGACGTGTCCTGAAACTTAATAAAAGTGGAGTACTGTGATTTTCTGTTTTTTTCTCTCCGTATCTTTGCCTATCGAGATACGTATCGTACATGACCAGCATATCGAGATATGTATCGTATAGTGACCAGCATATCGAGATATGTATCGTATTATGACCTTCCTGTATCGTTGCAGCCCTACAGAATAGGTCTTCAGCAATCCATTCTTGCTGTAAGGGGCGACTAACGGGATCGGGTGGTCAGGTTCGCTGACTTGGTTGATGCATGTCATCTTATCCCAATTGCGTGGATCTATGCTCATGAGGGGCGGTCGGGTAGCCTAGTGGTAATAGCGTTCGCTCGTCACGCCGAAGACCCGGGTTCGATTCCCGACATGGGTACAATGTGTGAAGCCCATTTCTGGTGTCCCCCGCCGTGATATTGCTGGAATATTGCTAAAAGCGGGGTAAAATCAAACTCACTCACTCACTCACTATGCTCATGATGTAAATCACTGGATTATCTGGTCCTGACGCGATTAATTACACACAGCCGTCATATAGCTAGAATATTGCTGCGTGTAGTGTTAACCACCAAACCAACCAAAGGAACATCAACTGAGGACAGACTCGTTGTTTCCAAAAGCGACACGTTAGACTAACATTTAATCTCTGAAATGAAACTAATTATAATCTTTGTTTTCATAATTGTATTTTAATATATAATAGAGAGAAACCTAAAGTATTAAAAGTTATTTGTATTTTTGATAATTTTGTAAAAGAACTCAAGGTTGTTATACATAATGCAACAAAGCAAACGTAAGGATAATTTAGATTTACTTAAAAAAAATGGACTTATTCTTAGAACAAGTTAATTGATATATTAACTCTTATTTTGGTACATATTATTTTAAGTAATGTTATTATCACACCAAGGCCTATACATCTTGCCACGTGAGTCTGTAATGATTAATTCTAAAACCGTGGCAACTATCTGGAGAATAAAAAAACAACTACAAAAAACAAACACAACTCTTCCCTACCCTAACGCATGACAAAAACAAACCACATACACCTGCACTGGTGTCGAGAATCAAGGCTCACGTTTAGAGTGTGCATCTCGAACTAGGCCAACAGGCTTTAAATACAACACGTGCACGTGTTTGTCTTTCAGTTTATGCTGGTTATTATGAACGCGCGTTGTTAGATATGGCAACTCGCAGTCACATGACAGCCGACCCTTACCCACATTGTGAAACACAATGATGGTGTTTATCGCTAGCCAAATGGATATTTCTCGAAAAGCGCACTTTGTAAGTTTTGTCATTACTGTGAGGAATAATCCAACTCGCCGGAATTGCTTTTTACGCTTTATAACAATTAGAACATTGGTAGCAATCTTCGTTAATTAATAATCGCGTAAATTCGTGATTCTATTTCAAGTGGCGAGGACAAGAGTTCGCGCGCACTGACCCTATTACGGTCAGTTATACAAGGCAATGACTCAGCAGTTTTACTCTCCGCCACTGTTCGTTGTATAAGAATGAACCGATATCAGCCGGAGCTTGTCGCTCTTTTTGCTGACTATAAACCGCGAAGGAACCTCGTGTTACAGGGTGGTACCTCGCTCAACGAAGAGGATTTGAAGCCAACGCGGAAATGGGAGACACTATCTGATGGCAGCCCGGCCTCTCGGGTCACATTTGCTCTACAGGTATTTTAGCATAAGAACATGTTATAATTTTTAAGTGTCACATCCAAAGACAACACACATTAGTATCTGCACGGGGCAGTTTTATCATTTCGCAGTGGTCGATTGGGATGACATCGTCGTGGTTAAAGTATGGACGTTACAGAAGGCTTTGTGCTCAACTCACATCATTTCCTGATGAATTCATCAGGGTCAGGTCTTCCAGTGAATTCCGCACTGCAATTACATCCATGGCGATGTGCACGATTTTACTCTTATTAATTTGCAACACAACACGTGCAATGCAAGTAAGTCCGCACCGCGATGGCTGTAGCCCGGCGCTATGTATACCCCGAGCTCTTAATTTAACCTCAGCGGTTACTATTGATACCACACATCGACAAGACAGGCGCTCTGTAAGATCAATAAACAGACAAAAGCTCCATACGCGTTTCCCATCGAAGGGAGATAACTGTGGTTTTATGAGCGCCCAATTGTTTTGTTATTCGGAATGAAAACTGGATTAGCTGATACTTATGATGTTAAGTCCTTTTCAACAACTGCATTAGAAATACACATAGACCACACAACATTCTTTTCTTAGGTGTTTTCTTTAATTAGCCATGCATAAAATTAATATTTCAGAATTGTATAAACATCAGCATAAATCCGAATTTGACATGATAATAAAAAAAATCATAATTTTACAAATAAAAGATGTAAACTAGAAGTGTTTGCAAATACGGAAGCGGCCTCTCCATCGCCATTTTCTCAAGACCAAAAAGTGCGACATTGATCTTTCGTCACAGAACCGACATTTAATATGGTGGGATTTGTTTAGACGCAGCGTAAAACAACATCCAGCGACGGTATATATAATTTCCTACCCGAGCAATGCAATCTAGACAAATCACAATTACTTAAATAAGTTAAAAACAAATCCGGACTTCACAAGCGTAAGCGTGAATGATTTGTTTTTAAATATACCAGCTTCGTAAAGTACCTACGTTCGAAGTATAGCGATCGAGTTGAGTTTTAACGCCCCTTTGAACTATATTTCAATTATCCATCACGGTGTGTCAGCTTCACGTGGGAGGAACCCGTGAATATCCGGTTAGAATAGTCTGGTCCAGACTCGATTATAAACAGACCACCGTCATATAGCTAGAATATTGCTGGGTGCGACGTCAAACAACAAACAAACAAAACATGACAACAATACACGCATTGTATAAAGCGACCACAGCTGATGATACCACCAAACATTGTTGTTATTTATGTATACAAGCGTTACATTATAAGTTGTAGCAGTATCACTCTGGGTAAGAGAGTTAACTCACTTTAAGAGTCCAGTTTCCACCCTTGCCGAACTAGGCTGGAATTCCTGGGCTCGATCGTAGCACCACCAGTGGTTATTACGAGTTATGCCCCTTCTATGCCTCTCCTATGGACCAATCAGATTCCACCTCTCAGTATCACTTGCATTTGCTTCAAATAAAATTGCGGCGCCCAGTCAAGACGATCTGATCGATAATTAATATCTATATCAAACGGGTCTTTCGCGAAGTGCATCAAATCACGTGAGCACCTTGATTAAAAACATGAAAAGATTAGGAAAATATCTGTTGACAACAAGTTGGCGGTGCACATGTTTTGCAAATCCTGCATTCGACCGAAATCTGCACGACAGTTCACGAACCGGATTTCGATTTCATTGCGCGATTTTGATTGGACTATGCATAGACTCATTAGTCCAGCCAAATTCTAACTCCATAATACCAGCCTTGTTCGGCAAGGGTGGAAACTGGGCTTTTACAGTCAGTTAACTCCCTTGCCTCGGGAAGATGTCTGGGTACAGGTGGGTTTATGCTTCCCTCGTTACGTTTCATACCACTCGCCGTGGCAGTAACACTCGGGGTACATGTGTTTTTATTTACTGACTCGGAAAAATCGTGAGGCCTTTTTGCCTCGAAGCGGGGTATAAGGGATTTATTCTCCCACTCAGAAATCCACGTGCACCTTGTATTGTTCGTGACGGGATATAAGGGATATATTCTGCCGCTGAGAAATTAATTTCCCCCCAAGGCAGGATTCATAGTATTTCATCAAGATCGCTTGAATCAATCAGATCTTATCATTCTGACATGGCGACCCTTGAAGATCCGGGTTAGAATAGGTCTTCGGCAACCCATGCTTGTCTTAAGAGACGGCCCATGCCTGCTGTAAAAGGCGGCTGTGCTTGTCGTCAGAGGCGACTAACGGGATCGGTTGGTCAGGCTCGCTGATTTGGTTGATGCATGTCATCGATCCAAATTGCGTGGATCGATGCTCATGATATCAATCACTGCATGGATTGTCTGGTCCAGACTAGATTATTTACAGCCCGCCGTCATATAGCTGAAATATTGCTGAGTATGGCGTTAAACAACAAACCAACCAACTTAAGAGACGATTAACGGGATCGCTGACTTGGTCCATGCATGTCATCGTATCCCAATTACGCAGATGGATGCTAATGATATCAATCACTGGATTGTGAGGTCTAGACTCGATTACTAGTATTTACAGATCGCCATATATTGTTGGAATATTGCTTGGTGCGGCGTTAAACAACAAACAAATAAATAATGTCGGAAGAAGCCCGAAGTGATGCAGGTCTCGGACGTTTACCACTTCGGTGAAGCCCACGAGTACGGGTATGGTGCTGAAAATCCAGTAACATAATCGGGGCGAAACGGGATTCGAACCCGAATTATACGCAACTCTGCACATCGAATTGCGGCGCCTTATAGACGGCTGCAACCCGTTTGAAGCATAGACTGAGATATGTAGGATATCACATTATGGCATTTTAATAGAGCTATCACATACATTACAATCAACTGTACACTATTCCCCAGACTATATGATTTCAGTGGCTCAGAACATCGTACGCAGGACAATATCAGAATGACTGAAACCCGAGTCCAACAGAGATGCCAGTAGGTCTTATAACGCCCCTTACAACCATACAGAAGATATTAAAACTCCATATTACAAGCGAATCGCTACAACACACGAGAAAATTAAAACAAGCCTTTCAGTGGGCTTTGCATATTGTTTTGCATAATTGTATTTATTATATACTTCAGTGTGAAAGACTGAGTTTTCTGGAGTTGAGAAAAGTGATATTTTTATTGCAGTGAACAAGACACTTGGTATTTCACTGCAGTAAAGATATTACTTTGACGGAACTATTGTCATACAAGTTACCTCCCCTAAATTTCCCTTTATTGTTGTGTCAAGCCCGAACACAAACGGTTGACGTCCCTTTTACGTTAGTTCCACTTTGACAAGGCAAAATAATGACAGGTGGTCATTTATGGAGTTACTATCACTTCTTGTCGTTTTTTAATGTTTTGTTACAAACTGTAAATATCTCATTTAACTCGTCAATCGAGATGGTTCGTTTCGCAAAGTTGTTACTTGACTATAGTGTACTCTTTCGCTTCCAACAGTCCTAGTTTTCAAGAATATTTTTGGTTAAAGTTGCTTTTGCATATAATCATATCTAAATGCATGCTGAAGAATTTTCGTGACCATAAATATTTTTGGATACTTTTATTTATATTGTTATAGATTTTGCAAACACAGAACTACTTTTAAGTCGCAAATATGAGGCGTGGTTAACTGTCCCTGTGTGTCAGGTAGGGAGAATTGACGTTTCAAAGTTTTACATTTGTAATGAAATAACTTAATTTTCCGGTAGACACCTACACAAAAAGTATATAATAAATGGGATATTCCATATGTCTCGTGAAATATCATGTTTCATCTCGTGATGGGGGAAAAGGAGATATTTTCACTCGTGGCGTACGACACATGAAAAATCCTCTTTTTATCATTTAACGCAAGCAGTTATCCATGACATAAGCTTATGACATAAAAACATGTATGTCATACCCAAATGACATCAGTATGCAAATTAGATAACCGGAGGTGGGACTTTTTTCGCCGGTGCATGTAAGCAGGTGTTTACAACATGGATACCTTTGATGTTGGAGACAATGATTTTATGGATCATAGGGGGAGTGCTACAGTGATATCAGTGTTGACAAATGGATATTACTCGTTACAGGTTGATGGTACCGAATTTGAATTTGACTGTGATGAAGGCAGATTATCAAAAATTCCCTGTGACAAACGTTTCGTAATCGAAACGTCGTCGAGCGCGGCAAAGCAGACAACGAACACAGATGCCCAAGGTAGATTTGTGGGTTCTGGGCCGGAAGAGCGAAACCTAGCCATAATCAACTCTAAAATCTCTTCGCTTTCGTGAAGTTACAGTAAGACTGGTCACGCTACAGTAAACACGGGATATTGCTTTACCAGGACTCTCAAATTACAAGAAAAACACAGAAATGCGTATACCGTAATCACAGTAGTAATTTATTAGATGCTGAAGTATAGTATAGTTGCACAAAAGTACTTTACATTAACAAATTTAATAACTCTAATACTTTAATATTTCATAGATGTACATTATAATTTCTACAAAAACAACAATAACTTATATCTTAAAATATAATGGTAAATACATAAATACATTCTATAATATATTTGCGGTTGCGCTGGCATACACGTTGTGTTCAAGTCATTCCCTCCAAGTGGATCAGGTCACCAACGTGATCTTTGTACTTGGTACGCCGATGACGTTGTTGACGAGATTGTCTTTCAGAGCCTGAAGACGGTTGTCAATCAGCCGATATCTTCTCTTTTTTGGGTGGTGCTGACCAGTGGGCTCCAATTCGTTGAATGGCGACTTCTACGTTGGATTGATCTCTTTGACGTAACAACTTCAAAAATGTTCGGATGGCTCTTCCTTGCAAGTTTATTGAGTTTGTGATTCCACCCCTCGACGTTATTGTTAGTGCGATGCCCTTGGTTACCAAAATGGTTCCAGATCTCAGGTCCGAATTGGCGTCCTTCCACCCACGTTGTCAGAGATACCTTTCAGTGCCAGCCCAAAGGTTGTCTGTTTCATTACAGACAGGCAATCTGGAGAAATGCCTAGAAGAATGGACTTCAGACCTTGTATAAGACCGATGACAATGTGAAGCTCCTGGTAAGGAGAGCCCCAGCCCTGCCACTGGTGAGAATGTGTGACATCGACGATGTGTGGATTGCAGCCCTAGTAGAAGCAAACTTTGACGATCCACGGGTGCTGAGGTTTGCAGATTATGTTACTGAACAGTGGGTGGAGAATGATGGTCGCAGCATGTGGAAGCACTTCGAGACAGTGGGTTCCAGAACCACAAACAATTTGGAAGGATGGCATGGTAAGCTAGGCAAACAGGGGCCGAGCCATCCAAATATATTCAAATTCAT